TTTACTAGCTTAAATTCTTGATTCATTCATATTAGAGTATTAAAAGATGGCTCAAAGACAATGAAGATGCTTTTACAATAACAAAAATAGAATTTTTACAACAGGAGGGATTTTAAAAAAAGACTCGATATCTCAGGCCTAAAGAGATTTCCCCACTTGCCGAAATTATATAGCTGGTTCCTGACCACTGAAGAGTACTTACTCCCAGATCTGTGAATACCAGATTTCTATACATCTCATTAAGGAATGAATAAAAGTAAAACAAAAATCTGAGTGTCATCTAACTAGAAATATAAAGCAACATTTTTAAGAGTAACAATTTGCTTCACTGGAAAAAAAGTGATCTTTTAGATAGTAACACTAAATAAATGGTTTCCAGCACAGGAGTGCAGATATAAAATCTACAAAAAATGCTGTCTCTACTGTAGTAACATATAAAAGCATACCAAATAAAGGTAAATACAAAGAATAATAACTATGATTTTTAAAATGGCACAATTTGTTTACAGTGAGAATCAACAAAAACAAGCACATCACTATGAACCTTTCGTGATAGGTAATTTTGTTCAAATGATACCAGAACACCATACAAATTTCAGGATATTTCTTTCTGACCAAGCTAAGATACAAGTGACACTGCTCTCAGGAAAGAGTCACAGAAGATAAAAAGCTGACCCAGATACATTCCAAGAAAAATTAAAAAATTGGTAAAAGTGGTTCTCACAACAAAGGTCTTTACTAACTGCTCCACTATCATATAAACCCATGAAATATGCTTTAGTAGTATCTCTTAAAAGAGAATGAGGCATTATAAAAACCCAGTATGTTCATTCTCTCTCTCCCCCATATATATATAGAGATAGATAGAATAAAAATAGTATATATATAACAGTATACATACTATTTTAAAAATATAAATAGCATATATAACAAGTATATGCTTATAAATATATGCATATGTGTATACCAGAAAAAATATATTCTTGAAGTGAAAAGAGAGAAGAAAAATTTCAAAGCAAAGGTATAAAAATGGGCAGAAATCATAATTCCAGAGGAAATATTAGTAAACTAATTTCTAATAAGGAAGAACCAAGGAACCAACAGAAAACCTGAACTTTTAAGTAACCATGCTAAAATAGAGCAGGGAGAGAGGGACAGAGGGAAGGAGGGAGTAAAGAAAAACTGGAAAGAACTCCTAAGTAAGGAAAAACAAATGACATAAATTTCAAACTCATACATGTACAGAGTACATGATCATCTCTGAAATAAATGAGGCACTATTAAAACAAATTGTAAAATGTAAAGTACATTATAAAGGAGTAAATTAAGATATTAAAAGAAAGCATACCAAATTCCACCTTAAAATATTTAACCCTTCTCATTAATAACGTCTTAAAATTATTAATTTTAACTACTTAACACACGCTAAAATAATAATTAAAAGTTTGCTTTGACATGGGGCTTATCTGATACATTTCAAATTCACATAAATTAAATAAAAATATGGTTTAGGCAAAATTCTTTGGATAAGCACAGCTTAACTAAGTTATGTCACTGTAAGTAATGAAATTCAATTTTTAAAAAACCCAACTATACTGAAGGATAGCACCAGTCAGTATTTCTGTGATCAGTATCCTACACCACAGAGCAGCATCATAAAAGTCTTCTATGACACAGAGCTGGGATGTATGGAATAACTGCTATCACAATAATGACCAAAGACAGGATTTCTATTGCTCAAGAACAACATGAACTGTACAATTTTGTAGCCTATACTACTCACCTTATCTTTGAAGATGTGTGGATTTCGGTATATAAAATCTCTGTAGCTTTCTGTTCGTACTTTGTCCTAGGGTAGAGAGCAAAATACTGTGTTTATAGGTATAGCCTGAAGAAGTAAAAAATTTTAGGAAGATATTTGCTACTTTTCACAGCTATTTTTTTAAGTTGGAAAACCAAATCTGCTTTTGTTTTGTTTCCCTAAAAGAAAACAGTAAGATGAAAATAGCAACAACACATAAAGAAAATGCTTATTTTGAAAACATCACTGAAAAGTCAAATAAAACCTATCTGTGTTCTTAAAAAATGTACCCATTTTTCTCTTTATATGCATTATCATTCTAAGACTTTCAGTGATGATTAAAGCTAATAAAAGATGCCTTTTAAACAGGCCTGTAAAACCTGACTCTACACTCTACATTAAAACAAGGGATAAAAGAAACAAAATAGATAAATGTAAAAGTTGTAGGATAATATGAAAAATGAAGCTACAAGAGAATGTTTTTCTAAGTCATTATCAACATCTAGCTGATTAATAATCCTATTTTATTTCTAGAAATTTCTGTAGTAGAAAATAATACTGAAAAGCCTGCAAGCCTGAAAGTAAATCATTTGAACCAGCAGCACATGTTATGAGATTCCTATGCTCTCAAACTCACGTGAAATGTGACCAAGGCAGGCATTCAGCATTCTTGTATTCACATTTCTTAAGTTGAAACACATACAGACTGCAAATTAAGTAGTTAAGGGCTCTGCTGCCAACTAACTACACTATGAATCTGATAAAAATGAATCTCACAAAACAAGAATTCTAGTTTTGGGTTTCTCACTAGGTAAAAATAAAAGTCAACTCTCGGTATCTGTGGGGTTCACTTTCATACATTCAACCTACCAACAGCACACAGAAAATATTTTAAAGAAATAATTACATATGTACTGAACAAGTACAGACTTTTCTTGTCATTATTCCCTAAAACATACAGAGTAACAACTATTCACATAGCATCTACCCTACATTAGGTACTATAAATAATCTAGAGGTGCTTTAAAGTACACAGCAAAACGAGTGTGGGTTACATACAAATACTGTGCCATTTTATATAACAGATCTGATTATATATTGCTATATATATATATATAGCACCATCTGCAGATTGTGCTATCCTCAGGTGTCCTGGAACCAACCCTCCAAGGACACCAAGGGATGCTGTAGTTACAATAAATGCTATAATAGCACAATCCCCCAAAACATTTCTATGCCAATATTTACACTTTCTAAAGCACATAAAGGAGATTTCAAAAGACAAGTCATTTTAGTTACTAGCCCTAAAAAGGTAAAAACCTGTAATTTCAGACTTTCTGATTATTATTTCTAATTGTTTCATAAAAAATTTTAATCAGGCTTCTTAAATGTTCTCCTTGAACTTTTGATTTTTGCTGAAACAACAAAACCTACAAAGGATGGACATCAGTCATGAGTGCACTCACCTGGAAAGCTCTCACCACTCACCCTCCCTCACTCACACTGCTCCAACTTAATCAACAGAACCTCAACTGCTGTCCTACTCCATGCACTTCTGCTCAGTTAACTACAGCCCTGCATGGGGGCTCCTCCTACATATTCATCCATTTTGTTCATATGCTCGCCCCAGTGTAATGAAATCCAAAGTAGAGCAAATATAACACCTTACAACTAGCAGAGCTTCAATTTAATAACTGGATTTTTACAAGAAAGCCCCACTAAATGTGAACATGCAAGCAAGTGAAAAACTATTTTTCATGGGTTGGAAGGGCATGGCTCAAGTGGTAGAGCTCCAGCAGGAGGCCCTGAGTTCAAAGTCCAGTATCGCAAAAAAAAAAAAAAAAAAAAAGAAAGAAAAAACCTAAATAAAACAAAAAACTAGCCTTCAAAACCATTTCTAAAAATTTATTCTAACCAAAGACTAACATGTCAATACAAAACAAAATAATAAACAAAAAAAATTTAATTCTCTTTCACACTGACATATTAAAACTAAGAAACACAAAAGAACAAAATTAGAGCTCTAATATTTAGGAGCAATATTATAAGATGAGCAAAGCATCATGAAATTATTCCTACAGATATAAAAACGGTTAAGAATAAGGCTTAAGGCAACAGAAAAATTATGCACTATAATTGGTACATATATACAAGTATGTGCATTTTTAATGTAAGGGTTCATTAAGGTGGACAGAAAGCTTGAGTCAGCTGCAGATACAATGAGAAGACAGTAGTGACAAAAAAAAAAACTACTAAAATTTCCAACTACTAACCAGCACTATGATCTGTGATATATGTGCACAGAGTAGCGTCTCTTGAAAACAATAGAGACAGTGATGCATGTTAATTTATAATCATGGTCAACTAAACGACAAAATTTCCAAATCATATTCTACAAAAGCAAGGCCAATTCTAAGCATAAAAGTCTTTAAGGAGGGTTTCTCAACTTTAGTTACAAAAATTAGGCAAGATTCTAGTGGTAGGATAATTTCAACAGTTTATTTGTGCCAAAATTTGTTCAGGTAGGAAGCAGAAGAAATACCAGATCAGCCTGGGGTACACAGTGAGACCCTGTCTCAAAAATGAGAAACAGAAGAAATACATAAAATGTGCTTCATTCATCTACAGTGCACAACTTAGCAAAACCATTTTCTTTAATCAGATATATCCACATTTTCTATGAACACTCATTTCCAAGAGGTAAATACATTGTACGGCAGCTAAGGTAAACTAAGGCACAGAGAATATTAATAAGGAGTACTGATTACCTAAAAGAGAAAAGATGGCACTGGAACCTTTAAGATGGAACTTAAGTCTATATAGACATTGAAGGACTTAAATATAGTTAGGTTATTGACATATAACACATGTATCCAGTATAGAGATTTATAAACTCAAACTGGATTTCCCTGATAAATGTACTGGAAACACTCATGTCTACTGGGAGTCTCATGTCTAAAAAAACCAAAGCAAATGTCAAACTGGAGGTATTAAAGGTTCACGGTATTTAAATTAATGGGGTGCTTTCAAAAAATAAAGGCGGACTTATGTTAACTCTTTTAAGTATTCTAGGCAAAATAAAATTAACTTTAAAGAAAATATTTTGAGAACTAGGGATGTAGTTCAAGTGGTAGAGCACCTGCCTAGCAAGCTTAAGGTCTTCAGTTCAAGCCCCAGGACTGCCAAGAAAAAAATAAAATATTTTGAACAACATAAAGTTGAACAACAATAACAAAAAAGAAAAGAAACCACGGAGTAAGTCAATTTCTTTTAAACAAGTTCACTTGACTTAAAATAATTTATTACTTATAAGGTACCTGTCCATAATGCTACGTCACTACCCAAGTGACAACAAAAGGCACAACTGTGACATGTTATAAGTAATGACATGACATTGCTTTAAAGTTCCCACATAATTATAATAACTATGAATCAGCAAACTTCTACCATGTGATCCTGCAAAACTGACTCAAAAATTTTTACATGTTATTAAATATGCCTAGTTATTTAAGACAAATGTCTCAGAGAATCCTAATGTTGAGGCTTACATTAAATAAAGTGGTTTTTGGAAGGATTTAAGAAGGGATTTTTATAGACTGAGTTAAGAAAACAGAAGGTAATGATGACATCTAAAATTCCTAGAGATAAACATCTAAAATTTTCAGCAATTTTTACAGCCTAACATTTATTCTATGCTATTTAAGTATTTTCAGTTTTACTGAATTAAAAGTCTTTCTATTTTAATCTGTAATACTTAATAAAATGTACAATTATCAGGCAGAGCTAGAAATGAACTTCTATACTACATGGACATAATCACTATGAGAATTAAAATCAATTCAATTTAAATATCTGATTTGACTAATTTAGAAAATATTCCTATATATAAATGATTTAACAAGTTAAAAAAAGAACCATGCCATAAAATTGCAAGATTTATAATTAAACATTATAAAGAATTATTTGCCCAAACTAAGTCAGTATTGTTATTTAAAAAACTAAAATTATTTCCTTCCCATATTAAAAAAGCAAACGCATAAATTCCTATTTAATAGTTTCTCTTCAGAATACTAAAATCTTAAGTTTTTTCCAATGCTCTATTTTAAGCAAAACATGACTTTATAACAACGATTAATAAGATCTTAAATAGAATTTACAGTGATTTTAATGCCTCTGTAATCTTTGCATCTCAAGATCAATGATTTAAGCACCAAAGAAGTTTAAAAAGCAATTCTTAAAAAAGAAGCAGTTTCATATGTTAGGGAAAAATCTGATTTATTATGTTTTTTCTTTAGTATGGATATGGCACATCTGTGCTCTTTTCTAACCTTTAGCATTTCTTCATGTATCCCATAATGCCCGTATGAGCTGAAATAAACACCATCCTCATCCTCCTGGAGGTCGGCAATGGCAGTAGATGACGAGCAGGTTCTGACATCTGCGTTCATCACAAAATCCTGAGCAAATTGTCTGTAATCAATTTGAAATACGCTCTTGAGACAGGTTTACTGGACCATGAAAAAAGGAAAGGCTAGAGGTTGAGAAAGAGGACTGGGGGGAGGGGATGTGAAGAGTATGATAGGCTCCCTCTGGTAGAGCTACCCACAGACTATTCAACCCCAGTTCTGAACATTTCTGTAAACCACAAAGCAATGCCAACTGCTTAACTTCCTTATATTTTTCAACTGAACAAAATAGACACATTTTCTTTATTCAAATTTATTGTTTCTGTTGTTCTAAGATTTTTTAGCATCTTAAATCAATGCAGTTTATTTAAACTTTGTTTTTCTTTAAAACCATATTATCTCTTGGAAGGGTTAAAAGGGTAAAAAGTAAACCCAAATTAGGTAGTTATTCACATACATCAATCCTGTCCACTCCAGCTCTAAACTCAACTCCTCAATGATGGTGACATGTCAATAGTTCAAAAGGTATGCAAGGCACTATTCACAATAGCCAAGTTATGGAAACAGCCAAGATGCCCCACTACTGATGAATGGATTAAGAAAATGTGGTATCTATACACAGTGGAATTTTATGCAGCCATGAAGAAGAATGAAATGTTATCATTCTCTGATAAATGGATGGAATTGGAGATCATCATTCTGAGTGATGTTAGCCTAGCCCAAAAGACCAAAAATCGTATGTTCTCCCTCATATGCAGACATTAGATCCAGGGCAAACACAACAAGGGGACTGAACTTTGATCACAAGATAAAGCGAGTGCACACAAGGGAGATATGAGGATGGGTAAGACACCTAAAAAATTAGCTAGCATTTGTTACCCTCAATGCAGAGAAACTAAAGCAGATACCTTAAAAGCAACTGAGGCCAATAGGAAAAGGGGACCAGGAACTAGAGAAAAGGTTAGATCAAAAAGAATTAACCTAGAAGGCAACACACACGCACAGGAAATTAATGTGAGTCAACTCCCTGTATAGCTATCCTTATCTCAACTAGCAAAAACCCTTGTTCCTTCCTATTATTGCTTATACTCTCTCTTCAACAAAATTAGAGATAAGGGCAAAATAGTTTCTGCTGGGTATCGAGGGGGTGGGGGGAAGAGGGAGGGGGCAGAGTGGGTGGTAAGGGAGGGGGTGGGGGCAGAGGGGAGAAATGACCCAAGCATTGTATGCACATATGAATAATAAAAAAAGAAAAATTAAAAAGAAAAAAAAGGTATGCAAGAGGAAGAACAAAGGGGCAGAAAGAAGAATTGATCACTAGGTTCATTAGCATAAAAATCCAGAAACAAGGAAGGGGACATGCAAGACATTCTGGCAAACCAACAAATGGGTGCTAAGGTACCAATGGATACTTCTACCTTACAAATCCAACAGGTAAAAAAAACTCTGAGGTATACTAGTTAGAAATGCAGAGCCTCAGGCTCAAGACCTCCTGAGTCAGAATCTACATTAACAAGAACTCCAAGAGATTTATATGCACAGTGAACTTTGAAAAGTACTATACTAGATGCTCATTTACTCAATGTGGGATGGGGGGAACAACAACCTGTCCCCACCTATCTGGTTTCCTACTTAACCACTATACTATTAATACATTTTGATTCTTTAAAAACAAAAATTGCAACCCTGTGTATTCCCCAAGCCTTAAAATTATTAATTCCTACATTTCTGAAAACCTAGGATAGGAAAATTAAAATGGAGAAACTGATTGGAAATAGGAAAATTAAAAGGAAGGCAATATCAAAAACATTCAATAGGACATCTCTCAGAACAACTACCGTTAGTACAAAAGTAATTATGAAGTATGGAAAAATAGATTAAAAAATCACAAAATTTTATATTAATCAACTAATTAATGAAGGATCAATTAATCAACCCTTGTATGAAAATGCTGTGTATCTTTAATGCCACTAAAATTAAACATTTACACTGTGCTTTGTAATATATGAAATATTCTATAGTCTACCTTGCCATTAGCTATATTATCTGAGGAACCTAAACAATTTTCTGTAAGACTGATAAATTACTTCATTCTTTGCAGATCCTCACGTGCTCTAGCTAATGCAGCTTCAGCAGAGAGCGCCCTGGCTTCCATACGTCTCAATTTTTCAACAACAGATGTATTTTCACTGAGTCCATTGGGATATGAGAATGGGACTGACACAGGTTCGTAAAGATCTTCTACATCTAAAGAAACAAATGGACATCAGTCATTATCAAGTTACCTTACAGCAGTGAGTAGAAACATGCTAGGAAGAAATATGTCTAAGTGCCACATAATATGGTTGACTGAGAAAAATCAGTACTTTTAATTAAATATTTAACATCCACATGGTCTCAGTTTGAATTCAAAGAGCATGACATTAGTCTAAGTTTTTCATTATTTACCTGCATTGAACACGTATGTGTATTAATTATATTGAACCAAACACAGGAAGAAAAAAAGTAAAAGAGAAAAAAACTCTAAAGCCCACGTTCTGCCACTAACAAAGCCACCTCTCAGTTTGTGTCCTTATCTGCAGAAGAGCAGGCAGTACATTTACATGTTCCTGAAGGGAAATCTTATCATTTGGGACAACATGGGTGAGCCTAGAGGATTTTACGTGAAGTGAAATATGCCAGATACATAATGACAAAATATTGCATGATCTCACTTGTGTATGGAATCTTAAAAAGAACCTCATGGAAATGGACAGTAGAACGGTGGTTGTCAGGGGATGAGGGTTAGAATTGGAGAAATGTTGGTTAAAGGGTACCATCTTCAGTTATAAGACGTTTAAATTCTGAGTGTCTCACCTTCCACATGGTGACTGTAGTAAACAAAGCCACAGTGCATAATTGAAATTTGCTAAGTAGATCTTAAGTGTTCTCATCATACACAAAAAAATGCTATGGGAAGTGATGGATGTTAATTAGTTTGATGGTAATAATTTCACAATGTATCAAATCGTAACACTGTACACCTTCAATGCACACAATTTTCTATTACAAAGCTAGAGGAAAAAAAGATATTCTTTAAGAATAGCATACAGACGAAGACTTCTTGTTCATCCTGGGCAAGGTGGAGCAAAATCTGTATACTAACATTTTACTACTGATATTATTAAATTAAATATCTAAAATCTTAATATTAAAGTTGATTAGAATTTTAATTTCATTATATACAAATCCTTAACTTCTATTGTAGAAATAATAACACTATAAGAAGTTTTAAAATATGGAGCAAATGAGGTTACAAAACCCCAATGTCCCATTAACAGCCTAACTTTCAGATCAATATAAAGCAATGAACAATGCAAATTAGTAATTTTCTCCTTAGTATAGCCCTGGAGAAAATAACTTTTTTTTTTTTTTTTTTAACACTCCTCAGGTTTTAGTGTGAAATTTATAAAGACGCTTTTCCAGGGTTGGGACAAAATAGCAAAGCTTAACAACTACACAGTAATACTAAAGAAGTAATACTAAAGAAGACCAGAGCCTATGCTGAACTCCTGACACAAAAGCAGTGCAGTATACCGATCGCTGTGTTTAAGACTAGTCATTCGCTATTCAACTTATCAGAAACTGACCAGCACAACTAAATATTTCCAACTAACACTGGTGTGCCATGATTTCCTACCTCCTATAATCATCACTTTGCATTTTTGTTTTCAACAATCTTCAAATTAACAAGTTTGTTTTACTTTCTGCTACAATAAAATTGAGTCATAATTTTTAAGATTAATAATATGTAGTAACTATTTATTTATTTATTTATTGGTGGTACTGGGGTTTGAACTCACAGCCTTGCCCATGTTAGGCAGATGCACTACCACTCGGGACATGCCCCCGGCCCCTTTCTGTTTTAACTTATTTTTCAGATAGGGTCTTGAACTTTTCACACAGATCAACCTTGGACCAAGATCCCCCTATGTCTGCCTCACAGATGGTGTAACAGGCATGAAACCGCTATGTGCAGTTTGTCGAGATGAGGTCCCACTAACTTTTTGCCTGGGTTAGCCTCCAACTGCAATCTTCTCCATCCCTGCCTTCTGAATAGCTGGAATTATTGGTGTGAATCACCGTGTCCAGCCTTGTAGCAATTATTTATTAAAAGCTAAACTTATAAACTTGAAAAGGAGAAATGATTTAGTAAACATGAAGAGTAGCACACTATAGACACCCTTTTGGGTTTTGCCTGTTTTTAATATTATGTTCTACATATTACTGTGTATCAGTTCACAGAGATGCTTGTTCTTTTTAAGAGCTGTATACTGCTCCAGTGTGGATTTTCCATAGTTTATTCAAACACTCTCTTAGGTCCAAGTTTTTGGGTCGTTTCTAATATTTTGAAATTACAACGCTACAGTGAGTAACTTTGTATATATGTACTTTCAGAAGAAGAAGGTTTATCTTCAAAATAGATTCTTACCAGTAAGATTGCTATGTTAAGAAGTATATACAGTTTTGTTGGGGGTGGGGCTGTAGCTCAGCAATACAGCACTTGCCTAGCATGCATGAGGCTCTGGGCTCAATCTCCAGCACCACAGTAAGATAAAACAAAAACGCAAAAGAAAAAATAAAGTTTTATTAAGTACTATCAAATCTGCATTCTCTAACAACATATGAGAGTACCTATCTGTTCACAAGCTCACCAACAGTACGTGTTATTTTCAAACGTTCTGCTAATCTAACAGGTAGGAAATGGCACCCCGGTCTTGTTTTAATTTGCATGGCTGAGTGACTCGGAACATCTTTACATGTGTTTCACACTTTTATGCCTCTTTTGGTAAAGTGTCTGATCCTATAGGCTTTTTTTTTCTCTTTTCCTATTACTGTTCTATCAAGTATTTGATCCTATGTCTTTCAGTGCTGGGATCAAACCCAGGGTCTCACACATGCTAGGCAAGCACTCTACCACTGAGCTACGCTCCCCAGCCCCTAAGAGCTCTTTATATGAAAGGATATGAATCCTATGTGGAATGTGATCCAAATATTATATGTACCTTTTAAAAAGATTAAGCCATTTTATTTTTCAGACTCCTTTAATTTTCTATTCCAGAATCCCAAGATACCACAAAACATTTCATAGCCACATCCTTCCAAACCCCTTAGGGCCAGTAACAGTGTCTCAAACCTATAATCCTAGCTACCTGGGGAGGCAGAGATCAGCCTGGGCAAAAAATAAAAAATATCCAACACAAAAAAGGTCTGGTGGAATGCAGCAAGTGGTGAGCAAGCATGAGGCTCTTAGTTCAAACTCCAGTACCACCAAGGAAAAAAAAAAAAAAAGAAAAAATTATAAACCCCTCTCTGCTGTGACAGTTTATCAGGCTCTCCATCATTTTTGATGACTCAACTATTTGAATGAATGCTGGTCAGGTAGTATGCAGAATGGCTCTCACATTGTGATTTTCCTGACCTCTCCTCCAAATTAGACCTGGGTAATTGGTTTTTAGGAGGAATACCAGAGAAGTAAAGTGTGCCATTCTCATCACATCAGGTCAGGGATATATACCAGCAATGCAATGGTATTAAACCTAATTCCTTAGCTAAGGCAGCACTTACTTGCCAGGTTTCTCCACCATAAAGTTACCTTTATCTGCCTAATACTGCATATTCCTTGCCTATTTTCTTATTCATCTCCTTTACTAGTTCAGTCATATTTATATTCTAAAGCCAAATACTTAGCCAATGCTCAATAAATATTTACTGAAAATGAGTGAAGGTGAAGTGGTCAGTAATCATGCTTGGGGCAGGGTCATGGTGACTTTCACTTCCATCTCACTTGACAAATGGCCAGGAGCACAGCCTATCAGAGAATGCAGGCAGGAGACATAAGACCATGCCCAGTTTCAGCTCCACTTCATCTCATAGGCCCTGGGCCATGACTTCTATGTGCAAACTCCTATAGAACTTACTTGTAGAATTTACATGTTAGTAACAATAAATTCCCCTTTATTAAGAACTTATGCTATGGCAGTTTCCATGCTAATATGCATTATCTTTGCAAAATTCTTTTCAGGTGGACATAATGACAATCTTTTTTACGAATTAAAATTAAAGCTAAATTTATAGGAATGGAGAGTTAAGAGTTCCAGACTGATCTGTGACCAACCCACAGCACCCACCATTTGTTGTTGATCTGAAAAATGACTTCCTCTACTGAGCTACAGCACCTTTTCTACTTTTCATGGCAGTTATCATATTCTACTTTATATTAAACTACAGTACAGACATTAAAAAACAATCACACATATCTATTATCAGACTGGGGGCGCTCAATGAGAGAGGACCATGAATTTCATTCCTTTGTGTTCCTAAAGCTTTTAAGATAGACTTTCATCCTGTGAGTGAGTGTTCAATGATTTTGAATATAGGAAGTTATATTCAAACTTGAATAGAGGAACCTCTGTTGAGCACTCTGTCATTTACCAGAGACCACTTTCGTCACTGTAAGAAATAACATTAAAGAAAAGTTGTCAAAAGAGGGAAAAATAAAGCTGGGAACCACCAAATTTTAGTGAAGAAGGATCTTAGAAACCTAGCCTAACTCTTCATTTTGCAGATGAACAGACTTAAAACAGAAAGCTGCAGTGCTTTGTCCAGGTCACAAATAGCACAGTAAGCTTCTTACTGCCACAACACAATGCCTCACAACTCAATGCCGGCATTTCTCAAGGAAATGAGATAATAACTGAATAACTGCCCAAATACACATTGTCAAACTATGACCTGTTTAGGTGCATCTGTTTAGAATGGTCTTGCTGATCTGAAGAAAGCAAACCTTTCATTTGTCCCAACTGTACAAGAAGCATGAAATAAAGTACATGGGAAAATACAAAACTTCATTCCTATAGATTACATCTATAAACTCTAAGAAGCCAACAAAATTATAACAAGACTCCTGTGCAATAAGGAATACATCAAAGCACTGTGCAATCAGGGAGCCTCGGATGGATTTCCACTCCTGGGTGGGGGGTTGCACCTGAGGCACTTATCCTGCACAGCTGAATTTTAGATTCTCAGCTGCTAGGGGAGAAGGATCTCATGAAATTAAAAAACAAAACAAAACCAAAAAAAAGCACAGGGCAAATAACTAAAGGAAACTACTATAGTAAAGAAAAGAGTGGTTCTGCCATAGGGAAGCTGAAGAGTTAGTGCATGAGGTTAAGCCCATGAAAATTTGAGTGGAATCTGTTCTGCACCAAAACAAAATCTCAGTAAATCAGATGTCTTAAGAAAAACCAGTGATATGATCTGAACATTTGAGACAAAAGCAGCAAACATTATTATATATATTTTAAAGCTGTTCAGAAAATTATTGTCTAATAACTAAAAATCATTCTCTCCAGTTTCCTTATGTTTCAAAATGCTCAAACAAGCTCATACTTCTAAATTCCCAGTAACTGTTAGTGTGACTATTAGTTTTTAAGTGACTTTTCGGTTAAAACCAACCACCTGATGAGATTTTTAGAAATTTTCCCTCTTATCCATTAAAGATATGTTCCAATATCCGCAGGGGATACCTGAAACCACAGGCAGTACCAAATCCTATATATACTATGTTTTTCCAATACATACATACCTATCATAAAGTTTGATTTATAAATCAGGCTCAGTAAGAAATTAGCAACAGTAACTAATAAAATAGTCCAAATATAACAATAGACTGTAATAAAAGTGGTGTGAATATAATCTTTATCTCAAAGATTACTTGAACATAAGCACTGCAATACTGCAATAGTCAATCCTACAACCAAAATGGCTACTAGCTGACTAAGGGGTAGGTAGCATCCACAGTGTGGAGACACAGTACAGAAGGAAGGTGCCTGTCCCAGGAGAGAAAGAGCTGGACAGAACAATATTTAATCATGCTACCCACAACACCATGCATTGAAAAAAACTTACGAAATCACTTATCTTCAGGACTTTCCATTTAGTGTTTTTGGATTGTGGTTGACGACAGGTAAATGAAACCATGGAAAATGAATCACCAATGAGGGAGTACTTGTATATTTCCCTAAAACACTTTGCTTTCGTTTTGCCATAACAAATGGTCTTATGTTAAAGTAGATACAGGATGTTTATCTTACCAAATTGAAGTAAAAGGTCATCTTCTAATACAGGCTTCAAATACTCTTCTTTTTCCCAAGGCACTGGGTTATATATGGAATTCATATATTCAACTGTGGGATTCTGGATGTAAAATTAATTGCATGTTTTATTCACTGAGTGTAATTGTGAATCTCCCTAGTAAAAACTAGGGAAATTAGGCAAAAGAAAACAAGTATGCACTACACAAAATTAGTATATCTCTAAGGAGTCTGCATTTACCTTACATTTTAAATTGTTTCAATACAGAGCTTTATATTGTTTTGATTTAGGGAAAGTGACAATACAAACATTCATTTAAAGGGGACCAAAAAAACCCATTTGAAAAAAATTTTTAAAAGAGTACCCAAAGTACTAGAAATCAAACTACAAATTATTTCTGCATTTACAGAAATGATATGACACTGAATTACTTTTCATGTTCCCAAGCGAGGGGAATTTCTGCTCCACCCCTCTGTGGTTCTCTCTGCTTAACCATCCTCTCTCCAAGGGGCTGCCCAGCAGAGAAGTACCCCCTGGAAAAAGGATAGCAAATTGGTCACCTCCACCAGGCTGCTAGTCCTGGTCACAGGGCTAGTAAGCCTTCTGGGAGGGACAGTCCTTTACGGCTTGTCACCGATCTATGATTATAGCTAGGTGGGAGTTTCCACAGAGTCACTCGTTAGGGCAGTGGCTGAGCTGAGTTTCTACTTGGACATTTCACCATGCGCTACATTGTACACTTTTGGTATTTTTCAGTTAGAACCCAGAAACAAGGAAGAATGGAAAACTGTTTTTAAAAACTCAATAGAAGTGGCAAAAAACACTGAAATCAAGAGCCATAGTATTGTCTGTACTGATTGGTCAGTTGTGTATAGTTTACTTGGTGTTTATGCTGGTTCTTTATGTCCATGATTCCCACAATCTGATGAATACCAAATTTAAAACAGTTCTTCATGTTCCTGTAAGTAACCAGTGCAGTGATAGTCATTGTGATATTCCTTTAATTTCTAAGCAAAATTATAAATTAAGCTGCCAACTTACCTTAAGTCTAATAAAATTTATTAGTTTAATGTATCCATAAAATTCAAGTCCTAAAGGGGAAGAAAACAGATAATTCACCTATTTTAGTATGACATGAGTTTTATCTGGCTTGTTCTATAAATATTCCTCTGATTAGGTAATACTTCTGATCTTTAGCCTACCACTTATATTTTGAATTTCGTATTAAAAATTAGAAATAGAGGACTGGTGCAGTGGCTCAAGCAGTAAGACCACTGCCTAGCAAGTGTGAAGCCCTGCGTTCAACCCCCCTGTAGCACAAAAAAAAAAAAAAGAAATTACAAATAGAATATTTATCTGAGAACCAAACAGCACTAGATAACAAATTTTGAAGTGCTTTTCCTGTATTTCTAAAAAACTGGGAAATTTTTTGGAATTTTACTTCTTTGTTGTCAGAACAATACAAAAAAAGATCAGGTTCTAGGTTTAAATAAGCACTCAGCACTTAGTATTATAGCTGGAACTTTGTAAATCTTTTGCAAATTCTAAATTATAAATCCTTAATTTTTATAGTGCCTACCAAATTATAATTTTGCCAAGACATGGAGTATACAAAGTCTACTAGCCTTTCCATGAAGTTAAATGATGTACATTAAAAACAATGAGGCTTATTATTTGGTTCTATCTTTCCCAAAATGAAGCAGCATTTAAGACAAAGGAAAGTGATAATATAATGGTTATTATATGTCATGGAACAAAATGGCTATTAGTCATCATGGGTAATTGGTTATTATTGAGAAATGATGTTATGAAGAAGCTTTAATAGCACACACAAACCTCTATTTTTTGATAAGTAAAAAAAAAAAATTAAAAAGTATGACTCCAATTCAGTTTGAAATGCAACATTAGAAAGGGAAGAAAAACTGAGACTGTCATTTACATGATCCACAAAAGCAGTTGCCCATGAATTTATGGCCTATAAACATATCAAATAATTATTTGGGACCTGAAAATCTGTCTAGTATTTGCTATTCTTCAATAACATTCTTTCTAGTTGTTAATAAAAACAGGGACCAAAATAAATCAATTCTGTATTTAGTTAATTTTAGTGACATAGGATAGCTCTTCTATATCTATTTACAGAAGTAGAAGGCTTTAAGCATAAGGAAAGCATGTTTAAATGCAAATCAACACAAACATCACCTGAATATTTTGCATACAGTACCTTAACTTCACCATTCTATTTTTCTTTACTTTCTTGCAAGGTTATAAAATTCAATCTTGTAGGCAAGTTCATATTATACTTGGTCCTGGCTAGTTGTCTTTTTCCACAATGACCTACCTCCTTTCCCGAAGTCCACATCTATCCCTGATCTCCCTAATTCTAATAGTATGAAAATGCAGTCTTAAGCCTTTTTTTTTAATCCATTTATTCAGTTGGGAAGCCATTATAAGCTTAAATACAGTGAATTTTGTCTAAAAAAGTGACTTATTAGTCTTTCTTCAAAGGCCACTTGTCAAAAAACAAATTTCCTTAAGTTGTTGCTGTTTCACTACATTGGACTTGTACAGAAAAGTGTGTAGAAAATCATAAAATTTGAACTTTTACAATTAAAACTGCCTTTTTATTCTAAGAAATACTCACCATGTTTATGGACCATGTTATCAATATTAAATTGATGTTCTGACTTACAGTGTGAAAATGTTTCTTCAGCAGATGTGAATAACCTGAAAAATCAAGTGAAAGCTTCATGGAATAGTCCCTTGGGAAGCCTGAGTAGTGATTTCATCTTAAATGTAACTTTTTTCACTCAGTTGGTCTCTAGTTTTATTTCCAGTTAAGCAAAAACAAACGCACTGGTAGATGAAAGGAACAGAACTCAGCAGTTCTAGTAAGAATTAGTGCTGCTGAGTTCCATTTAGTACCTAAAACAAATTAAATATCCTTTAAAAGTTAAGGTTAACTTATTTGTCAAACAGCACTGAATTTATCAAAACAGGCTTTTAGGAAAGTTTCCTTTTGAAAACTGCCTACTGACACTATTTCTTCCTTAACTCTGCTTTCCGAGGCTTTGAACTGGCACAGCTCAAACTCCTTTTGGAAATAAAGCATAAAACGTAACTTTACAGCTGGCACATTCCCAAAGTACCATATTTCAGAGATCCTGTAGTGTTCCCACAGTACCAGCACTACAGACGTCGTGAAGACCAGGCCTCTTTCTTCCGTGACCTGCAGAACTGAAGGTCACGACAACACGAATATATAGCAGAGACACTGCGAACTACTTCTGTATGCCTAGTACATTTGCAGCAGGCAGTTTTCCACCAATGATTTGCCAAGAAAGGTTACTTGCAGAATTTATGCAGCCTATCAGAAGCACTGCACCACTGATGCTCAATAAATACCTCTTTATAACCACTAGACAATATGCAGTCATTCTGTATCTCCACTGAGGGTACACATAAGAACACTAATATACCACCAATTAGCGCCACCTCCAGGTATCTGGGACACTGGAAAATATTTACGAAAATGGTCAATGCCAATCAGGCCCCTTTCATGACCACTTGCCCACAGCAGCCAATGTCAAAGTTTCTTGATACTTAGAGGCAGAATTTTAAGTAGAAAGAACGTGTTTGGGAACACAAACTATAGCTCGTAATCTTGAACAAGTTACTGACAACTGCAGTCTCTTTTTCCATAAGTGCAGAGGCATCCATTCTCTCAACAGGTGAGAAGCCCCTACTTACTTAGTTAAGATGAACTGTAACAATTTAAGGGGCTAAAATGTCACACCTGAGAAGCTGGCTCTCTACTGCTCAAATTACCGCAAGGGCTCTAGAGATTACCTGGTTCTGTGTTACTTAAGTAACAAGATGAGAATCACCTCAGTGGCTTTATAAGCAGAAGAGTCCTAGAACCTAGGGGTTCAACATCTGTTTGGTTTTTGTTTTTAAGTGACAAGGGTGCACACCACATTTGGAACTGAAGATCTAATCTCAAACAGGCTCACTTTATGCAAGAGAAACTGGGTGAGGCCCGTGGCTGACAAGTACTATACAACCGGGCTTCGGGTTGCTGGCTCCACCCTCCAACTACGGTGGGGGCTTCCTGCTCAACAAGCCATCACCCCCAAAGAACTGAAAGGGTCTGCTTCCACTCGTGGGCAGACCCCAGGGCCGGGGCCGAGGTGGACGAACCTGTTACAGAACAGGCAGGGGGTCTGCTGCTTGTCGTGCGGGGGCTCGGCACCGTCCTCATCCTCCCAGGCGGCCTCGTCGCCGCTGTCCGACAGTTCGGGCAGGTCCTCCTCCTCCTCCTCCTCCTCCTCCTCCTGCACGGCGCCCCGGCCGCCTAACACACGCACACAGTCAGATCTGGTCGGCCTCGGAGGAGCACGAGGAGTCCCCCCCGCGGCCCTCACTCCCGCACCTCGCCAACCTCCCTGCAAGGCCCACCGCCCAGGCTGCCTCCCGGCGGTGGGGCTGGGGAGAGGAGGCCGTTCACCCGCCGGGCCGGCTGCTGAGGAGCAAGGTACCCACCGGTAGTGCCTGACGCTAACGAGCACATGGCGGTGAAGGCCCGGAGCTCGGCGGGCCTGGGGGGGGCGGGGACCAGCCGGCCGCGCGCGACCTCGGGAACGAGCGCAAGCGCGCGGCGAGGCCCGGGAACCACGCAGACGCCAGGGAACGAGCGCGAGCGCGCGCCGGCTGGCGAGCACTTCCGGCCCGAGACCGCGGAGCTTTTGATCACGTGAGGCTTGTGGGCGGGGCGAGAGTGCGAGGCTCCGCCTCCGCCTGCCTTTGGGTTGCCGTAGCGTGCGTCCAGAAACTGCTGCAAGCTGGGTTGCACGCGGCGGGCTTGGAGATGACTTTTGTCTTCTCCTCAAGCTCCAGCAGGCCTTAACGAGAAGTGCTGGCACCGAGTCCTAAGCCCAGAGGTGGAGACAGGCCGTAGTAGCTTTGCTGTGGCATGGTGTCCTCTGTGCTTCCCTTATTCTCGGGAAGAGCACTCTGAAGGAGCGACCAGCCCGCGGCGCCCTCTGGTGGCGGAGAGGAGGCCAGCGTAGGCAGGGACCCGGGCTTCATTGGTTCTTGAACTCTCAGGTCCCTGCGGTGCAGCTGGGAGAAGCGAGCTATTTGAATTAAGCTACATTAACGTGTACTCTATCTGTGGGTGCACCGTGGAGACCAAATGAGACCGAGTTCCCAGAAAGCAATTTAACCTTTGAGTCCGTGGACTCTGAGACCAGCCTAATGGGTCTGAATCCTACTTCAGTAGCTTTCTAACTATATAACCTTAAGCAAGCTATCTGCCCTCTCGCTGCCTCAGTTTCCTCAAAACGAGGATAACAGCAGCATTAACCTGTGGGCGCTGTGTGAAGGATAAAATGAGTTAATACATGTAAAGTGCTTAAGTGTTAACTTTATGCTACACAATGGAAAACAGCTGAACAGGTTTAAGGTGACACTGTCAGATGTGTTTACAAAAAACATTCTGGCTGTGTGAGGGGAAGAACACAAAAGTTCCTATGGCTTGGGCCACCTCCTTTCTAACATTCTTATATTTAATGATTGAACTCCCTTAGATGTGGTGGGCACACTAATTTTGGTGGGTAGTGTCCCAAGAGCCAATCCCAGAGACTAGACTTCTTGACATGTGTTTGAAACCATGTCTCATTAGGCTCTGCATAATCCTGCCTAACATTTCAAACTCAACCTTTCATCACGCATCCCGCCCTCAAGCCTTTTATTTACTACTAGTCATTGCTCTACAAATGGGTAGGTCCTCCTTTTGGTCTCAGTCGGGGGGGCTTCCCTCAGACTACCAATTCTAAAATAGCTTCCCCTGTTATTCCAGGAGTAGTCTGTTTCTTTCATAGCACCTACAATTTGCTTACTTGATAACTTTATTTTTTGCTCTTTTACTCTTTGTACCACAAGGATAAGTTCTATGTCTCTTTACTTTTATTTCTCTGCCACACACTATATAGCCTCGCCCTCAGAATAAATTTCCTGAACGGAAATAATACCTTGCATTATTGTTAAAAGTTTTTAAAAATGCACTCCTTTCCTTTAACTACAAACTCCTAGAAAACAGAGCCTATCAATTATTAGTTCTGAAGCTGCCTTACATTTTAGGGCATGCCAGAATATCTGCTGGCTCCCTTGGGTTAGACTGTTCACTGATGTATCCTAGTGCCTGGCACATAGGAGGCCCTCAATAAGCATTTGCTGAATGAATTAAGGAATTTAAGACCTTTCTTTACCTGGGCCCACAGCACATATTTCCAGCACAAACTTCTCTGCAGCAAGGCCCATTTCTCTCCATAGAGCATTTGGAAGGAATCTGATGAATTTCTTAGTGACACCGCTCAATGTTAACAGTGAAAGAAAATCCAGTCTGAAGGGTGATTGAGCCCCCACAACGCAGGGCCTGGGAGTGGGTGACTTTTCTCTCTATTCCATCACCCCATTTAACTACTAAGATCAGAATAGAATGTTGAACTCTTTTTGGGAAGGTTGGGAGTGATACTAGGGTTTGAATTCAGGGTCTTGTGCTTGCTAGAAGGGTGCTCAATCTGATTCTGCCATTTCCTAGCTTCAGGTCTTCAGTTTGGGACCCCCAAGCAAGGGTCTTCACCACGGTGAGCCTCAGTTTCTTCATCTAAGAGATGAGCATAAGAAAAAATAATGTAAAAAAATTGGATTTTCTTGGCAGTGCTGGTGGCTGAACTCAGGGCCTTGGTAAGCAAATGTTCTATCAGTTGAGCCGTGCCAAGTCCTTAAAAATAATTTTAAAAGAAAGGAAAAATGATAAAAGATTTGAGGATAGTGACATTTTATAAGGATGGCTGGAAGGTTAAAGTGCAGGCTGGAACTTTGCAAACACTTGATAGATAATAACGGCTATTATATCATCCTTTATTGAACAAATGCTGTGCATCACCACTAATACTCTGGCATTTTTGAATAATCTAAGCAGCACCCAGGATGTATTCATTTATTTTTATTCCTCTAATTTTCCCCATGAATTATACAGGCTTGGTTGTGTAATTTTTATTATATATTCTGAAGCAGTAGTAAAGGCAAAATGTTCCCTTACACAGTTACTTATAGTTAGTTAGTGTTTGTGTAATTCAAGAGACAAGAATGTAAATGATTCTGAAACAGCACTCATCTGCATCGTACGGAAGAGTTATACTGTCACTGTGACTGCAAACAAGTGTTTCAAAGCTGGCCTCCCAACCAGGGCATCAGAACCAATAGAGAAGTGAAAATTAAGAAAACTACAGATTCCTGTATACACATTCTAAAAATTCTGATTTGGAAGTTTGAAGTACTAGTCTCTATTTTTCAAAAGCTCCCTGGGTAATCAACACTTTTTAAAATTCTGATTTTTTCAAAAGCTCCCTGGGTGATCAACAGGCTGTGGACCCCTAATGTTTAAAGCACAATCATTTCTGCATAACTGAAGAGAATGAAACAACAAAGGTAAAGCACACAGACTTTTTTTTTTAAGACCCTGAAATTACCAATTTGGTAATAGGTGTTGAGGTTTGCAATAAATAGCATTTCTCTAGTGCAGTCATGGCTTGAGAGTGCCATTGGCTTTCCCCAGGTCATGGATGGCCTTGTTCTCCAGAAGTTCCATCTGTTTGTAGTCTGTTCTCACCATGTTGTTCAGCATTGCTTTAACCACAGTCAACACAGGCACAGAGTGCACACTGGCCCATGAATCTGGTAAGAAGCCGAAGAATTTCCTAGCCAACCATTCACCTGGGCGAGACTCTTGCCTATCACATAACAGCACACTAAAAAAGAGAAAAAGAAAAGCAGAGAAAAGATGGTAACTTACATTCAGACCATGGTGGGTGTTACAGGCTGAATTAAAATTTACATTCTGAAACCCAACCCCTAATGTGATTGTATTTGAAAATGGGCCTTAGGGACATGAGCAGGGTTAGAAGATGGGACAGAACTAATCTGATAGGACCAATGTCCTGTAAGAAGAGAGACATCAAACAGTTCTCTGTGCACACATGCATAGAATAAAGGCCACAGGGACACAGTGAGAAGATAGCCATCTGCCAGTTAAGAGAGGCCTCAGCCTAGTCAGTCTCACCTTGACCTTGGACTTCCAACCTCCAGACTGTGAGAAAATAAATTTCTATTGTTTAAGCCACCCAGGCTGTGATATTCTATATGGTAGCCCAAGCAGGCTAATACAGTGGGTATACGGTTTGATTTGGTTCACGAAGAGGATTTTAAAAAGAAGGCAAAAAAAAAGAAAGAAAGAAAAGAAGGTAGCAACTACTACTCAGGAAGTTCCAGATTATTCTGAAGCTGGACCCCAAATCTACCATTTCTTTCAAAGGCAAAGGGTGGATGGGTGTGTCCTTCAGAGAAATGATCTACCTCCAGCCAGCTTCTTTCCTTTCTTAGCTGTTGGCCTCTCCAATGAAGACCTGGCTGCTACAAACTAAGGAACAGTGGCACAGCATAAATACTTACCCTGGCCTAAACACTGAGTAACGATCAAATTTTAATTCTTCAACCTTGGCTTCCACTTCTCCCTGTTGAGAAAATATACACACTCACACTCAGCATTTAATCAAGACCAACTTATTTATGGACAGCTAAAGAGGAAAAAATTGGGAGTTTTGAAGACCATCTGTTTCTGCAAATCTTCAGACTCATAAAATATCCTCATCTAGAAGCTTGGATTCCAAAATCTATACTATGATATATCTGATATATTGTAAGAACTTTTGTAAATGTCACAACGTACCCCTAGCACAACAATAACAAAACTAAATTTTTTTTTAGAGTTACAAATGCTGTACTGAGTGAGTGAATGACAGCATAGTCACTCCTCTAATTTTATTGACATTAAAACAGCCCCAGAGAGGGTAAATGATAGTTTGACCATCAGATTACCCTCACATCAGTCCAGAATTAGGCTAGCATGCATTAACCTTTTCAGTGTACAGGCATTTCCAATGGGCAAGAAAACCATGACTGTCTATAGATAACCCTCTATATTATACACCTCTTAGCATTAACAATTCCCCCAAAAATTTCAAGAGACAGTGAGATTACATACATATGCCTTCCATCTGTTAAACCAATCATGAGTTTTCATGCCAGCAACTCTTAACAGAGGAGCTCTAGCCATAGTGAACTCTGCAGGCCTTGTGAATTAAAATCACATGAGGCATGTGTCCCTGCTCTGCCTGCTTATACACTCAGTTGACACTTAACCTGTGAACCATATAATCTTAGACATCTTTTTCATTTTTTAACAGCAGTTTTTAGTATATATACAAAATTGTGTAACCTTTACTACAATCTAAGTTTAGAACATTTTATCACTCCTGGACTGGGCCTGATGGTACATGCCTATAATCCTAGCTACTTGGATGGTAGAGATCAGGAGGATGGTGGTTTGAGGCCAGTTCAGGCAAAAAACTTATCAAGAACCAATTTCAAACAACAAACCAGGAATGGTGGCATGTGCCTGCAATCTTTACCCCAGCTATGCAGAAGGGATAGGTAGGAGGATCAAGGTCTGAGACTAGCCCTGTGCAAAAAAGCAAGAACCTATCCAAAAAACACCCAAAGCAAAACAGGTCTGGGGCATGGCTCAAGTGGTAGAGTGCCTGCCTAGAAGCATGAGGCCCTAAGTTCAAACTCTAGTACTGCCAAAAGAAAAAAAAAAAATCACTCCAGAAAGAAATCTCCTATCATTTATCAGTCATGCCCATATCCTCTCCCCATGCCCTAGCCAATCACTAATCTAGTTTCTGTCTATAATTTTGCCTATTCTGAACATACAAATAGAATCATACAATTTTTAGACTTTTGTGGCTTGCCTCTCTCACTTAGCATTATGTTTTTGGGGTTCACACATATAGTATACTGCAGGTAATGCAGGTCAACTTCAGCAAAGATGCCTCTTTCCATCATACTGACATTACTAATATTTGCTAAGGTTCTACCACAGCCCAGCTGCTGTGCTGGTTCTACATTTACCAGTGACAAAGGTGATTCATTACATAATGCCTACCAGCACGGACCTTAGAATACTACCTGGATTCAAACCCCAGCCCTGTCACTTACCAGCTAGTGAATTTAATATTACAGTCCTCAGTTTCCATAAAAAATGTACATAAAAGCCCTTGGGACACTGCCTAGCTCAATTAATGTTAGCTGTTTTTTTAATCTGATGAATCATTATTACAACCCAGTAAGTAAACAGTAGTAGCTTATCTTTAAAGATGAGGACATATATGTATTGTCTCTTCTAAAAGATATTAATGTTTACCTTGCCAATCAGAGCGAAAATTCTATTTGATGATCGTTCTCAGAACCCATGTGTGTATTCTGAAGAACAGGTTTCTCTTCTTGTTAGGATTGTTCTAAACTCTTAACAATTAAACTGAAACTTTTCATTCTTGATTTGACTTCATTGGTAGCTCACTAATCTTTATCTGCCTCAAAAAATTCTTTTAGGATAGGAGAGATAAGACTCAGCTGTAAGCCATATGCAAGAAATCTAAAAATGTTCATTATCCAAAGTTGATCATGAACAAATGCAAGGATAAGGATGCTTACTAAAATGGTAACCATCTTGCATCCTTTTTAAAAAAAACAACATAATGTTCAGAGAGTGAAAAGTAATAGTCCCACTGAAATTCTGTTATTACATCATTGTAAAGTCCCCTCAGCCAAGTGACCAGGGCAATGAAAGGGATGGAAATAGGAACTGATAAAGAATAGTACTTACTCAGGAGGCAGAAATCAGGAGCGTCAAGGTTTGAGAACAGCTGGGGCAAAATGTTATTGAGACTCCATCAAGCCAGACATGCTCGCACAGGCCTTTTGTCCTAGCTGAGGCCCACCCAGGGCAAAATCTCAAGACTACCCAAAAAATAAATAGAAAGCAAAAAAGGCTGCAGGGCTGGTAGAGTGGCTCATGTGGTAGAGTGCCTGCCTAGCAAGCATGAGACACTGACTTCAAACCCCAGTGCTGCCCAAAAAACAAAAAAAAACAAAAACAAAACCTGCAGGCATGTTTCAAATAGTACAATGCCTGCTTAACAAGCTGAAGGTCCTGAGTTCAAACCCCAATACCACCCAAATAAATCAAAAAAATGGTGCAAAGACTTAAAGGCGGCTGCCTGGAAAACAACAGGGCAACTACAATCTTCAAGGGCCTAAAAGACAATGCAAAGAAAGGACTGGACTTGTGGGTAACAATTAGCATTTACAAAACAATCCAATGCTCCTCACAATGAGGACTATTTATTTATTAATTTATTTTTATGGTAGTAGAGCTTGAACTCGAGGCTTTGCTTGTTAGGCAGGTACTTTACCACTTCTCCAGCCCATGGTGAGGACTTTTTGACAAGGAGTTGGCTAATGAGGTAGTAATTTCCCTCCTGTTGGAAGTATTTAAGCAAAGGCCAGATGAAGTCTGTATGAAAAAGTCTTCATATGGAAAAGCCTTGGGCTAAATAACTTCTAGGCCCTGCTTCTTAACCTGGAGCCACCTGGAGTACATCAGGAGACCCACAAGACAAAGCCAGGGCCTATCTTCCTGCAGCACCAATTCTACTGGAAGGTTAGGAAATGGAAACTTTTAAACTAAAATAAACAAGGATATATATTGTATGGAGAACAGCAAAATGTGCATGAATTTTTAAAACATTAAACACAAGAAAGTTGAGCTTGTAATTGCAAGCTGTTTCAGGCCAAATGTCCCCAAATCTCCAGAGAAACCTCCTGACTCTCAGCCATCAAGGAAACTGCAGAGAAAGTTTAAGAACCAACCACTACCCCAAGTCTCCTCCAAAGGTGAGATGACAAACTGATACTCAAGACCAGAGCTGCCACAGCTCACTCCACTGGTTTTGTTGGATAATTAATAGGGGGGCAGGAGGGGAACGTTGGAAGTTATCTTTCAAATCACTCCTGGTTCCTAAATATATTCCTGGAAAAAAAAAGTCCTTGTAGCTATAAAAATACATAAATCATGCATTTAATGCTTTTTAATACTATATAGGATTTTGTAGTATTTAGCACTGCCAATTAGCCCAATGTATCTGAAAGGCAGAAATATGAACAAACCTTAACTTGCAAGTATAAAAAATTGCTTGACTTATCAGCTCCTCTGGAGGACAGCAAGTTGAAATGTTTGCACCCTCCAGCTTTTGCCAGCTCTGCAGACTTCAGCACATAATCTCGGTCAACACGAACAAATCCTTCCTAAGGGGGAAAAGGATGTGAGTTATTTCCAAAAGTCATCAAGTTCATTTTAAAGATTACTACCTGGCCTGGGTGACAGGTTTGGAGGTCTGGGGGGAATGGAGCTCTAAATAAAATGCATCCAAGCAATGCATGAAAGTCAGGCTCAGACCCTGGGAAAGACTCCAAGTATTGTCTTCCAAACAGACAAACCAGAGTTAGCAGCAAGGCTAAATTGCAATGAAAAAACAAGGACAATGACATTGAAACACTGACACCAAACAAATCCTCAAAGAGCAAAAGAAACAGTAAGATTTGACTAGAAAACTGCTTTTTTTTTTTTTTGGCATCAACGCTAGGATCTCTAAGTATGACCGAGGACATTTTGCTGACACTATGAGAACAGTCTATTTAATATTCAATTTTTCTGTAGGCCTTGCAACATATTTAGATATTAGTAGAATGAATCTTCATTTATTTTTAACTGATAGGTATATAATCAAAAATGTTTGGTGATCCCTGATCTAGAGTTGGTCTACTGAGATAGTGACTAAGGTGTTCTAAATTCACATCTCAATGTTAGAACCTGCCCTGCACATGGTCAGTGCTCCAAAAATGTTGAACAAATGAATAAAAAGAAAAATCCAATCAGAAGAAAAACCAAACAAACAGAATTAAGTGGCAATGAAAGGAGGAAGGGAGAGGATACAGCAAACGAGAATATAAAGTCATTTCCAGAACTCAACTTAAAGACATGTCATCCTGCCCAGAAAAGGGAATTCCACAGTGTCAGTAACTTGAGATAATAACCAATTGTGACATCCCCAAACTCAAGACAAGCTAAAGTTTACAAAAGTTCCATGTCATGATTATACAGTGAGGTCTTATAGAAGGGGGATTCCAAGTGTGATGATTAGGTTACTGCCCAAAGGACTTTTTTAACTGAAACTTTCTGTAGTAGTTATTGATTCTGAATGTTTGACTTGATAGGGTGATGTGTCTTTCATAGACTGCTAGAAAAGACTTTAGTAAATACCATGTCAGACTCCCTTATTATATAGATGGGAAATTAAGTCCAGTGGTCTGGTGAACTGCTGGTTTGAAAGTGAGAGAACAGAGAGAGCACAGGTTCTCGATTCTCTGAGTAGGGTTCCTTTCACTGTACCCATGTTCCTTCATCTCCCAGACTCTCTCTTGCTGACAAAAATAACTAACCTGTTATGTAACAGAATAATAGTCCCTCAAAGATTTCCATGTCCTCGTACCCCTATCTGTGGACATGTTAGGTTACAAGGCAAAGGGATATTACGGCTCCAGATGGCATTAAAGGTGCTAATCAGTGGAGTGGACCTTTAAAGAGGAGATTATCCTGAATTATCCAGGTGGGCTCAGGAACCAGCAGAGAAGCTTAGAGTTATGCAATGTGAAGAGGGTATTACCTCCAAATTGCTGGCCTTGAAGATGGAAGAAGGTAGCCATGAGCCAAGAAAAGCAACCAGCCTATAAAAACTAGAAAATAAGGATACGAATTCTTCTCCACAGCCTCCAGGAAGGAAGGTAGCCTTAGCATCTTAATTTTAGCTCAGTAAAACCCATGCCAAACTTCTAACCTGTAGAACTATAATACATTTGTGTTGTTTAAAACCGCGAAGTTTGAGGTTATTTGAATAAGCTATAAAAAAAATTCAATTTTAAAATAATAGGCCCAAGCAAACTTTTTAAACTTTATATTGAAGTTTATCATAAAAGAAAATATACTGTAAATGAACTTGATGAATTTTCATGAACTTAACATCCTCTGCAACCAGCTCCCAGATCAAGAAATAGAACATTACCATTACTGTAAAAGCCTCTCTCACCCTCCTTTCTCATCACTCACAATCTACATTTTCAACTATATCCAAGAACCAATGTTATTTTTTGTGCTCTACTTTAGATAATATAACCTCATCTCTACCCATGAATCATCACCACCTTCTTTTGTGCTGTATACTTTGACACTCAGTCCTAAACAAATGACTTGCCTACGTGTCCTATGCACTGATTCAAATTCATGTTGTTGCCTTTTTAAATTAGTCTGAAGCAAACTAATTCTAGCACTTAGTACATCCTGAGAGAAAAAAGTGATACTCATCAGAGCCTTTCTCCAAACTGAGATTTCACATGTGCTGAAAGTATGTCAAAAAAAACCCCAAAAGCTATACAGAAAAATTGTAACTGAATTTCTCTTTCACATCAATTTCTTCCATTCACTTCCATTAAAGCCAGTTTTCATAACTAGTTTATTATTCACAACAAAATATAATAGTCAATAGTGAAATACATCTTGTTTTTTCTTGTTGTGTTAGCACAATTGCTTGGAAGGTTTATTATAGTTGTCTCTGTTAAAATGCTCTTTCAGCAGCTTCTTTAAAAATAAGAGAAAGATTCAGCCAATCACCAGCCTCCAGACCGACGCTGTCTCTCTCACTTAATCCAGAAGCAGGAGAGGGATAATTTGATTAAACTGAGAGCCTAATTTATTTGGCTTTAGTTCTGGATCAGCCTTCTCTTAATAGAGTGCTGTCATCTCCAATTGTTTGACGAAAATTAAAGTGACATAAATACCATGGGACTCTTTCAATCTGATTAGTCAGCAAAGGCACATCAATACCACCCCAGCCATCGACTCTGGCGTCCTTCCTTTCACTGGCCTCACTAGCAACTGACAACGGCTCCTTGAAGGACCAGCACCCACGCTGCTCCAGAGACCCCCACCCTCAGCCCATCATCCCTACTCAATGGGGCCTGTTGACAAGGTGCCCATACCTTTCTCCATTGCTGTTCTCTGGACAAAGCTAAATATTGTTTTATTAGCAATCAATGGCTGTTAATCCCAAATGATTTCACAAATCCTCTGAGCCCTCAAGCTGATTATAAATACACATTTTTCCAAGCCCACTAAATTTTAAATTTCACTTCTCTCACCCTGATGGCATGGCATTTTAGTTAGTGAATGAAACTCAAAAGCAAAAGGGTCAACAGATTTCAAGGACTTAGATATTAAACTGAAGCTAGGGGTCCCAGTGACTGACTAGGAGATACCAACATATACCAGTTTTTTGTTATTGTTTTTTTGGTTTTTTTTTTTTTTTTTTTGGTGTAAGGAAGATTCTACTTATAGATGGAAGGCACTAACTTTAAAATCTTATTAATTCCCTTTCTTGTTTGCCAACAGCCCAAATTAAAAACAAAAGAATAACAAACTAAAATAAGCTACTCCATATCCTAGAAACATAATTTTCAGAAAAACTCTACTTAGTTTCCCTAATCAAAGGGCAAGAGAAAAGACAGCCATCTCTTCTCAGAGTAGGAGTATGTCTTTACAATTCCATTACCCATGTGTCCAACTCTGATCAGGAATCAGAGGTCCTTCTAGGAAAAGGAATTGATTAAATAAGTTCTCACCATAAGTTTCTTTCTTAGAAACTACTCAAAAGAATATATACAACTCAGCAGAGATATCTTCATAGGCTTCACAAACATCAAAGGAGACCAATTCTCTAATAGCTCTCATTTTAAGTCTTATAAAATCCAAAGCTACTAAGTATTCCTTCTCATCTTCTTTACCAATACCTGAAAACTAGTTAACAATACTGTGGCTTAAGACTAACTCACCTTAACAAGGTATTTCAGTGCTGACTAATAGGAGGACAGAGCATGTTGCATGGATAAAGAAGGTCATAGAGGTCCTTTTCTGAGAAGGGAAGATCTGTCATTCTGGAAATGGTCTCACTTAACCATAATTCTGCTTCAGGCTCTTTCTCCCTTCACTCTCTTTTCAATAGAATCCTAAATCAGAGCAGAAAGTAGAGATGCTGACAAATAATAAATGGCATAATCTGAGACCCTATTTGTGTCCTAGAGGGCATCTCTCTATTGATTTATGGGAGTGAAAATCTTCTTTAGATAAAGAGCTCTGGGTTGAAAATAAAATCAAACAGATACTGAGGATTTCAGCATCAATCACTACATTCAAATTTTTTTCACTTGGGTAATTCTCTTCTGTTTCACAGTCAAAAGAATTCTGCAGTTGGAAGGGGGATTCAGTGATCCAGATAAAGAGGAGTTGGCCCACAGAAGCTAACTAACAATCTACTTGGTTCCAACAGGGCCTCTCATCTGGGGCTGTGGAGTTGTCCAGGACCTTACTACTTCATAAGCCACCTCTGGACATCAAATCAAATGATGGAGATTAGAATAAGAGTTTGTAAACTTTTACTGTAAGGATCAGTCTAGTAAATCTTGTTAGCTATACAGATCTCTGTTACATCTACACAGCTCTACCACTGTAACACAAAAGCAGCTACAGATAATATGAAGAGTAATAAGCATGGCTGTGCTCTAATAAACTTTTATGTATGGACAGTAAAATTTGAATTTTCTTCTATCTTCATGTGACATGACAGAATATTCTTTTGAATTATTTAGCTATTTAAAAACAGAAATAATCTCAGTCCAGCCACACAAACATAGGTGGAAAGCTGTATTTGGCCCCAAGGCTATAGTTTGCAAGTTCCTGAATTAGAAGAGTGCATTAGTAGAATCAGAAGCCAGGAGATTCTAAAGATACCTAATCAATGTTACAGTGACTGCATTGGTAACAGTAACAACATCATCCACTCAACAGAATCCAAGAACTTGGACTGCAAGAGCCTACTCTTAACAGGTGAGGAGACAAAGAGGTCAAACCACCCACACTCACTAACCAAATTCTTCTTTTACTACAAATAAAGGAAATGGATTATTCTCAGAGGTGTCTCGATATTTGCTCTTCACTCAAAGCCAATGTTGATTTGTTTTTCAAAGGTTACCGCAACCTTCACTAGCACACAAATTACTCACTAAAAGAGAAGACCATCAGAACTACAATGCTTGGAAAGCCAGCAAGAGAAGAGGATGAATACATCCCAGTACTCCCAAAAGAAGGTCCAGCAGAAAGGACAGGGTTGCTTGTATTATCTCTCAAGGAACCTACTAAAAATACAGATTCCAAGCTTCCAACCTGAGAGATTCTGATCTTATAGATCTGGATTAGGACCAAATTAGGGGGGCATTGCATTGACTTACACAACTATGACTTATGAGTATGAAAGGAAGTTTAGAATCTAACCAGCTATCACTAAGGAAAATGATTTTCCAAACAGCTGAAGAAAAACAATAGACTTATTCTTAGCATCAGTTCCAAAAGAAATTGATTAGACTGAATTTTATGGGTTGAAGTATATCTCCCAAGATAATACGTTCAAGTCTTTATCCCCAGTACCTCAAAATGTATCCTTATTTGGAAATAGGATCACTGCAGATTTAATTAGCTATGATGGGGTAGAACTGATTAGGTTTGCCCCTAATCTAAAATATAACTAGTGTCCTCATAAAAAGAGAAAATATGGACATAGACATATGCACACAGGGAAAATGCCATGTGTAAAGACAAAAAAACAGCAGTCACGTACAAGTCAAGATCTGAAACAGATCCCTCACAGTACTCAGCAGGAAGGAACCCCACTGACACCTTGAACATTGACTTCTAGCTTCCAGAACTATGAGACTTCATTGCCACTGTGCTACTTTATTCTGGGAGCTCTAGCAAACTATTATACTAAAGATCATACGGAAATAAGCTGGCTACTCAGAGGATCTCAACCCTGAGACAGAAACTTAATTTCTTGAAGTTTCTCTACTGGAAACTCAAGATTTCCAAGGCAAAACTTAGGATATTCCAGTTACAAAACAAACACTGAATGACATTAGACTTGTCACCAACTTTGCAGTATCCCTATAGTGCATTCTTCTGCAAAGAGGGCTGCTGATCCAGAATTCCAGCAAGGATGAATTTAGCAAGCCACAAGTCCCCCTAAACAACTATTGCTACTTACCACTTGTGAGTTGTCACCTCTTTTAAACTGCCTAAAGTCATCACAACTTCCAAACTGTCTATTGTACCCAATCCAAATTAGTTTTGTTTTGATTTGTTTTTTAAGGCCTTCTCTAGAGGCAATGTCAGCTTACTTTCTTGGCCCTATCCTCTTAAGCCATTTAAATACTACTCTTCCTGAGATTTTTTGGCTTGCTAATATTTTCCCTGGCTTCTTCATTACTTTTATGTTTTCAAACTGATTTTAAAGAAGAACCAAAGGTACTGAGTGGCCTAAGAAGTGAGGAACCACTTCCATTAAAAAAAAAAACCAAAACTAACGCTTTAATAAAAACTGCATTACACAATTTGAATGAAACAAAGCAATAACAATTTTCCTAAGAATGCCCTATGAACAATGCCTTATGTCATGAAACCCAACTGCTCTATCCTTAATGCAGTTTTTTTTATTTTGCTGAGTCACCCACCAAATCCAGGTTGGCACTTGAGACAGTCAAACTTCAGTGTGCTAGAGCAAAAGTTCTTCAATGCTTTTGGAGGGCACACAGCTTGTGACGGTCCCTGGGACAAAAAAGAATGCTGCTGAGTGGGAACATGACCCTTTCTAAAAGGGATAATGCAATTCCTGGGGAAATCAAACTGCTCTGTAATCCACAGTTCCTAAACCAGAGTTCAAAACCCAGCAGTGTTCCAGAGTAGACATGCAGAACTTCACAAGACAAGGAAATAGATCTCAACTGGAAGCATAATTAGAATTCACTTCTAAATCATCAAGAAACTCAGAGAAATATAACTGAGCCTAACTGTAAGAGGTGCTTAAACTGCTTTTGCTAAAAAGCACTGACTCATTACTTGAGCCCACAAGCTAACTAAAATCAGGAAAAAAGCTTAGCATCTTTGTCTACATTTTGCACTTTTTGTCTTTTGTTCTGAGCCATTCTCTCCTGCAGCCACCTTGGGATCAAGGAAGGACAAGAATGACAGATAACATTTTTATGACAAGAGACTGAAACTAGCCCTAAGAAATAGTGGAATCTTTTCGGAGAGACCACATCCCATCTTTCCCCAGCCCCAAATGAGGACAATACCTGCAATGACAAGGTTGTACCCTGAAGCAGGAGTAATCGTGTCATAGGAACCAGACTGCTCCCCTCAAGTGATGGCAACAACTTTTTGGAATCCTTGAAGAACAAGGACTGAGATAATGGCCAGCCAGGCCACACCTCCCCCTGGGACTGAGTTTTGGCCTGGGATCCAAAACTCTAGCTTCAGAACTATTTGGTTAGTATAAACCAATAGTTCATAGCCATATGCTCCCCTAAAGATACAGACGCATGAGCCTGGTTTATAAAATAGGATGTACCATGGCAGAATCATTGGCCCTACATATTTAATACACGCCTAGCTCCAGCAAATAAATTCTGCCAGAGGGATAAACTATAGTCAAGGTATAAATTCAGTAAGATGTATTAGTATTCGTCCAGGATCTACATTAATAACTATAACTTTTAACTATATAATAAACTACGAGTAGACGGGGCTGACTCAATTTAGATCACTATTAAGAAGAAAATAAAAAGTGTGTTAAAACAGTTTTGCGTCAGCAAAGGCTGAATCATCCCAAGAGTTGAATCACTGCTGAAGGCTGAGTCATCACTGGGGGCTGGGTGAATCGTGCCTCTGGATTCTGATGTTCTAGCCCAGAAGTTTAAAGCGTGGTGTGAAAATAAGTTAAAGCAAATCACTCCAGTGAGAGAGGTTTCGAGTTGAAAACATTTATTATGGAAAAGGAAAAAAAAAAAAAGCTTACTGCCAACAGCATGAGTCAACTACATTTATTCAGATAACTTTGTTTCCCTTAGGGGATGTTGTGATGATAGCACTATCTGCTGTGGGCAAGACCATGTCAATATTTGTAATGTTTCCAGCACTCTGAGCCTGAACTCTGGGGTTACTTTGAAGGAAAAATGAATTTATCAGCAGCATTCAAAGTATGAAAAAGTTACAGCAGCAAAGGAAATCTTAAAGAGCTTATTCAGGTATAAGCACTGCAGTACGCACAGAGAAAAAAGAGTAAGAAAGAAAGGAATCCTTGACATTATTGGCCAGTAAAGAGGCTAAGTAATTTTTTTCTTACCGCCCCAGCTTTTTTTCTGGTGGTACCCAGGCAACAGAATCCAACATCATGACCTTGAAAGGCATTAGCGTAGTCATCCAACTTTTCAAAATCCACCTCTTCTTGATTCTAGACAAGGGCACATTATTTAAGAAACAGACAAATCACCTCTCTAGATTTAAAGAATAAATTACAAGTCATTACTGAAGGGTTTTACCACTTATCATCAAATTTTGCAAATCACCTCCCACCAAAAAGCAATTCATCTGAACTGAAAATCAGCAATGCACACATATGTCCATGGCACATATAACCAGACTCAGAGTGATAGAGATTTCTAAAATCAGGTTCCATTATAATTTGTTTATGGAAAAACAAAAGGCCTATGTGGAGCTTACCAGTTTAGAGATGACAGGGTAGTGTTTAGAATCTCAAAGAAAACCTGCATTCAAACTTGGTCCTGTGAGGCATATAATTTGACCTCAGCTTTTTTCAGCTATAAAGTGTGGATGATAATCTGTCTTTTGACCCAACCCATGAACTAGACTGCATGAGAATCAGCCAGGAGGAGCTTGATAAAAAGGTATATTCTTGGGTCCCATGCTGAATCAGCACCCACAGGAATTCAAAAGCACACTGCAATGTAAGAGTTTGCACCTAACCTTATAAGGTTTGCTGTGAAACTTAAGAAAGTTTGAGAAGGTCCATCATCCAGGAGTTCAAATAAAATGTTGGTTTTATCAACCCTTTCAAAAGAATTTTCTTGGCACTGAATACAATGCTGATGAAAAACAGATTTTTCACAAAGTGTCTAGTCAAAAGATCTGTGACCAAAACTCCACTCTCAAAGTACAGATTTCAAAGTCAGTTTCTAATTACCAGCATCATCACACACAGCCCATGAAACTAGACAATGAAGACCACTCAACAACTATCTGAGCAAAAACACCTACATTAAGCAAGCAAGTCCTGATGGGACAAAAACACTTCAAAAATGATCTAAGCATGGACTTGTGATGATCAAGAATGTTGATTGTCAAGTCCACTTGTTATTTGAAATGCTTCTTCTATGGAACCCCATGGGGCTGAATTCTGCACTTGTGGTCTGGGGAGTACACTCTATTCAGTTTGCTGCAGTTTACTGGTAACTGGTTTTAAATGGAGAATAGTGACTCCATGAAGCTCAGACTTCAGATATTAGGCTGTGTATTATTTACCTAACCATGGAAATGTAACTTAAAGTGAAGGTAATATTCCATTTACAGACAAGCCTGGCAAGTCAGGCAGGGCACCTTCACAGTCCTATATAGATCTCTCCCATTCAAAGCATTTTCAGATTCTCTGACATTATGTGCATAGACAAAATATGAAACGTGGTTGAGTAAACTGTCAAGGTTACAAGGCCATCTCGAGTTCATATGAACTAAAATCAAAGTCGGTGCGCTTCTGTCTCACCAACCCCCATTACAACCAAGCTTTACTGAGTACTAGACGTAGAGGACTTCTTGCCCACACAGTTAAGAGGTGGACCTAAAATCAGGAACAATCCAAGAATCAGCTTCCAGCAGGGGCTTTCACGGATCAACCATGGGCAAAATCAGATCATCTCTGCCTGCCTCATGGGCCCAGCAACGTTCTGCTTTTGGGCATCGAATATGTTTCATCTCCAAAATGATTGTGGCTGCGCTTTTTAGTCCCAACTCAAATACCCACCACATTTTTATAAGCTTCGTCCTCGAAGGTGAGCTTCCTCCGGCCAATGAGCGTAACTTTGGCAAACAGGTTCTGCTCCAAGATTTCTTTTAAGAGCACTCTGCCGGTTTCCCCGCTGGCGCCCAGAATAAAGACGGATTTATTCTGCATCTTGAAGTCTTCCCGAAGCTTCGGCAGTGCCTCTGTCTCGGCCATGCTGGGGAAACAAAATGGACAGGTGCTGGTCTGAGGATGCAAAGGGACCGCCCTGTCCTCACCCTAGGGAATCAAGGCTGTTTATGGATTCAGAAAGAAGCTATTGTTGTCCGAGTCCCGGGGACAATGCTGAGTCACTAAGTCACCTGCGGGGTGCGGCGCTGTGGCGCTGTCACCGTCCAGCACCTGACCCAGGTGGAAGGGGAGCAAACCGGAGGATGCGTCCAGATGCCACAAATCGTGGTACCACCAGGCCTTTTCCCCACCGTACACCCGGGCTGGTCGGGAGTGCAGGGCCCAACTGGGTCCCTTAACCCGGGGGTTACCTAGGTCCAGCCCCTGGCCCCTGGTCCTCACACTGCAGTAGCAGCAGGGCGGCCACCAGCATGGCAGCCACCGCGCTCAGCACTGCAGGGCCGGGCATCCCGGCAGCCCTCCTTGCCTGCGCTCGCCCCTCCCCGACCCGGTCCGAAGCGGCTGTGCGTAGCTGGGGTCCCCACAGCCCAGCCCGCGTCTACCCGCTTCGTCTTCCGGGTGACTGGGCCGCTCGGCCTCGCCCCGCCCACAGGGGCGGACCTGGGCCGGGCGCGGGACCCACCCAGCGCGGGAGGCGCACCGAAGGCACGTGCGCGCGCGGCGGCCTGCCGCACAGACCCTTGCGCAAACGTAACCGTCGGGAATCCCCGGGAACCTCCCTCCCGTGTGGGTCCTCACCGCCTGAGATTCCTTGCCAGAGACCCCAGCCGAAAGACACCGCAGACTTGACGTTTTTTAGTCCCCAAACTAATTTTAATTGTGTATGGGAAATCCTCATCTCAGATTCACCACGTCAAACATTAGCCTGCCCACTCAATCACCCCAAACAGAAGTAAAGCAAACCTATTCCTAGTCTCCTTGTCTCCCTTGGATGTCCGTGTTCTTCCCCGCCGCCCCGCCCCCGCAATCTCCCTAACATACACACATTTCCCTTTCCCTCTCAAATCAGAAATCAGCCTCCTTTTGTTTCTCCTAGCCTTTCCACATTCCAAATCAGTCACCAAATCTTGCCTTCCAAATACTTCTCCGGGTAGTTCTTGCTCTTAGCAGATCGCACCAGTATAACTGATTTTCCTGCTTGGGTCCTAGCCCACTTCGAGACGGTTGATCTAGGATGACCTTCCGCAGCTGATCCTGTGACTCATGCTCCGCAAAGGAATCAGTGGTCTAGAACACAGCTATCTACACTGGGCCTGTCCTGGATCTTGGAAGTCCTGAACAGGGCTTAGAATCTGAACAGTACAGATGGATTGTGTTAACATCATGTTGGGGCCCCATCTCTCAGTCTAGAAACCAAATGAAATACACATTCTTCTCTATATCTCCTTAAAAGTTATATGTAAGCTTGACGTAGGCTCAGCCAGTCATATGCTTCCACACAGGTTTTTCACCTTGTGGGGCAGGGATAATAGAAAGATGGAGTTCTCACTCCTGCCTGAGCTGGAATCCCACTAGGTGGGGAAGGTTGTAGAATGATGGCATCCAGGAATCTCCAGTCACCTGATGGTAACACCTTGTCTTGGGTTTTGCTTCCCTTAATTGCCAGTTTTCAGAGCCTGTTCTGAATACTTCCTGTAGTTCTGCCAATCTTTTTTTTTTTTTTTTCCTGCAACTCTCCAACGAGGTCTATCATGTTCCTTGCAAAAAAATAAAAAATACCCCTTGACAATACAGAGCATAGGAGTTTGCTCCCCTGGCCTGTCACAGCATGTGGACTCTTCCATTTGAGTTCCTAAATATCATCCTACTAAATGCACCATCAAACCTTTCAACCAACACTGTCTTAGGAATTCATTTATATGTCTGTTGCATAGATTGTTAATTGTACCCTAGTGTCCATGCTCCCCTTCTTTCCTTTGCAAAATTGTGGCGGTTCAGTCCCATGATTCTAGAAAATTGTATATACACCTAGGCATACCACCAAAAACAAGACATAGAACACTGTTATCCCAGAAAGTGCCTTCATCCTATTATTTCAGCAATCCCTCCCCACTCCAGAGCCAACCACTTTTTGATGACTCTCAACATCAGTTTTTTCCTATTCTTGAACTTCATTCAAATGGATCACACAGCATTTGAGTCTCCATTTTTTTTTTTTTTTGCTTAACCTCTGTTTTTCATATTCATTTCTGTTGCTTTGTAAGGCTGCATTATGGCTTCTGTGGACCCTAAGCATTTCATCAACCTATCATTGTGTTCTATAAAGATGGATATATATTAATATTATATAATATATATTTTCTTCAATTTAAAAGTTTATTTTCATGGACCCTGGAACTATGACCAATGGATCAGTCAACCCTACTTGTTTCAAGAGGCACATGTCTGTAGTCCCAGCTACTTGGAAGGTAGAAGTCAGGAGGATCACAGTTTGAGGCCAGACAGGCCAGACCAGGGGAGGGAGGAAAATTAATGAGATCCCATCTCAGCAAATAAGATGGGTGTGATGGTTCATAGCTGTAATCCCAGCTAAGTGGGAGGTACAGCTGGGAGGACTGTAGTCTGAGGCCAGCCTGAGCAAAAAAGCAAACCCTGTCTGAAAAATAGCCTAAAGCAAAAAGGGGTGGGGGTACAGCTCAAGTGGTAAAGTACTTGCCCAGCAAGCACTAAGGCTGGGGTTCAAAACCGAGTTGCTTTCCACTATTCCAATATGAATATCTCACGACATGTTTAAGTACTCTCCTTTTGATGGACTTAGGTTTGTTTCCAGTTTTTGGTTATTATAAATAAGACTTCTATGAATACTCTTGTTCCAGTCTTCTGTGGACATGTGTTCTTTACTCCCCTAGAATTCTCTGAGGTAAATGTATCATTTCACACTTCCACCCACTTTCTATTATCAGTCATTGAATTTTAGCCATTGAGTGGTCAAGTGAGTCCCCATCTTTCTTTTGGCAGCAGAGCCCTGAGTTTTAGTAGAATCCGAGGATTCTCATTCAGATGCTAATTTCTCAATGTCACTTTCAAGTTGGTATTGACAATGATCTAGCCGATGAAATGCAAACAAAGGTAATACTTGCACGTTTGGATCACATTTTTTTAAAGAAGCTAACTACTTTCCCTTCCCTTCCCTTTTCTCCTTTCCTTAGGATATAATGTGAAGTTGATGCTGGTGAGCCAGCACAGATCAGGGGCAGGAAACAGCCTAGAGGATAACAGAGCAAGAAGTTAGGACCTGTGTCCTACAGCTCTTCATAGAACAGAATTACCTACTTGCCTTGGACTACCTGTCTTCCTCTGGGCATTGGGGGGCCGGGGGGGAAATCAACAAATCAATTTCTGTCATGTTGGAGCCACTGTAATTTCACTACAGCTTATCTAGCATTCTGCCTACCATAAGAACTTTTAGTCAATCTTGCCAATGAATATTTACTGATTATCTAAGGTAAGGCAGATACCGTGCTAGGCAACATGGATTTTTTCAAGATGAATTGGATACCAGGTACAGTCACTCTGACCTGGAAAGGGAAGTCATTAATACTTGGGAAAGTACAAGTTTAACAACCTTATCAAATATCCCCCAAAAGTTCACAGGGCAACTCATGCTAAATGCCAACTGAGTACACAGAAAAAAAAGAAAAGAAAGTCCATGGTTTCCTTCTCTGATAGCTGGCACCTGTTCATCAAAGTGCTGACATAATGTGACATGACCTAGGCTACTAGGGCAGCAGGGTCATAAAAATTCAGGAAAGGGGGAAGAGAAAAGCGTAAGGGAAAAGGGAAAGACACTTAAAGAAATTGAGATAGCTTCGAAAGATCCCAGGTCAAAAGACCTGCCTGTCAAGTTTAACATGATCTTTACCTTGGATGAAGATTTTTTGAACATCTTGACTTTCATTTTCCTATCTCTAAAGCAGGAACTGTTTCATTACATTCATTTTACTCCAAGGAACACTTACTCATATTAATTTGAGTAAAGACAGTGAATATTGTAATGATATTCATAATGTGTAAGAGAGGCATCTGAAAATAGGATCTGATGGAGGTGGGGCCTTGTAGAGACTGGAATTGTATTTAGGTAAAAGATCCATGTGTCTTCATTTTAGAGACATATTTTTAGTTCCACTTTAATTAAAACTCTTTCAGGTGATTGAAACCCCAACTCAAAATGTCTTGAGTAATAAAGGAAATATACTATCAATTGAAGAATCAGTGAGTGTGATAGCCTGGGGCATGACAGAGTCAGGTGGTCAACCAATGCCGCCAGGACCCAGCCCTCTTCCTTCCTTGGCTCTGCTTTCCTTCACATCAGTCTTGCCTTCAGGATGACCAACCTAAAGACTCTGAGCAGCTGTAGACCTTCACTCTCTGGTTAGTTAGAGAAAGAGAGAGAGAGAGAGAGAGAAGCAGCCAAAGTGGTTAACATGAGAAGAGTGTATAGACAGAGCGTGGAACAGAAGGGAGATTGACTACCAAAATGTAGACAGAGAGCTATGTCACGGGAGCTGAGGTTTGAAGTAGAACACAGCCAGAGTGCCATTTCAGCCCCTTTTCCATTATTATAACAAAATAACGGAGACAGAGTACTTTCTAAAGAGCAGTGTTTATTTAGGTCACAGTTTTGGAGGCATTGAGTCTAAACAGTATGGCACAGGCTCTGTTGACAGCATTGTGGACACAGCATCATGGCAGGAGCCCCTGTGAAAGGGAATGATCATGTGGTGGGGACAGGAAGCCAGATACAGGGAGGGGGGTCAGCCTTGTTCTTTTATAATAATCCCTCTGTCTTGGAAAGTCAGTGGGGACTCAAGGAACTACATTAATCCCTTCCAAGGACAGCATCCCCGTGACCTAAGGACTTCCTACTAGGCCCTGCCTCTTAAAGTTCCCACCACCTCTTGACATCACCACACTGGGGACCAAGCTCCCAACACAAGAACCCTCTGGGGACAAGCCACATACTAATCAGAGTCTGGGGAGTAACACTCCAGTCTTACTCTTCCCCTCCCTCCAACCTCCTCATTGGCCATATTCAACTAGGAGCCAGAGGGAACCTACACTGTGCAGACCAGTTTTCTTCAGGGCATAGAGGAGGTGTAGAAATGGGAGAGGGGATTATTCATGATATCAAGTGCATCCTCTCACATTCAAGTCCAGCAAAAAGACCACAACTGCACGAAAGTGTCCTTAGTTCAGACTAGTCTTCCGACCATCACTGTGGCACAGGGAATGAAGCTGGGTGGGCTAACTCCCTCCCCTACATCAGAGAAAAGGGGGAGAAGTAGTATCCTCAAAGAAAGTAGGGGTCACTATTAAAGGAAGAAGGAGAATGGATGTTAAGTGTCATCTGAAGTGATCATCTTTGTCTCCATTATATGTTTTCAATTATTCATGAAAATGTATGCTGGATAATGTTTTGCAAAGGAGACCTATAAATAAATGTGGCATGACTAAGATAACTGGTTGTAC